GGTCTCTTCCAACCATAATGATACTATCAGTCTATGAAAAATAAGTCTCCAAACCCAAGAATGATAGAGAAATAAAAGGCCGTTGACTTAAAATACAGTCTGTTTGTCTTTCCATGGACAGGAAAAGATGCGTCTTAAAAGCCAAGAAAAGGCTCAGTTTCACAGTATGCCATGAGGAACACGTCCATTTGATGCCTGTTCTCCACAGCCCTCTAACCTTGGTGCAAGTACTGCACCAACCGAGACCATATCCACCTACCTACATATGTGATCACTTATCCCTGAGTAACCTCTAATTATCAGACTCTGCTGTCAGATTCCCAGAAGCCACTGAACACAAATGTGTCCATTTCCCAACCACCTTTTAAAACCCACCAGAACAGCCCTTATGCTGTGCCTGTTTGGTATATTCTTCAACATCACAACTTCCTATTCTTTTTATAAATTAAAATCTCCCTGTACTGAGTTCATAACAATGCAAATTTTGTTAAGCCCCGAAGAATGTTTCATATCATAGCAAATTCCTTCCTAATCCTTGCCATATGACTAATAATTTCAAAGTGTACCAAGTTGCAGGATATAATTATTCTCAGAAGTATTAAAAAAATAGGCTCTTTGGTGAGCCATGCACTTCTCTTCTTTTCACAAGTGACTCAATACACAGATTGAAAACATACCTGCAAACATAAGCTCTGAGACATCTGGTTTGACATGGAGACATGTAAAGAGCGGGAGAGCACATTGTGCATTATTGATTTTCTCTTTCATGTTGCTCAAAGTGGTGTCCATTCTCTGTATGAAAAGAAAGAGGTTATGTCCAAACTGATCCTATAAAGGTCTGCTATATCTGGGAGACTCCTTATTTCTCTGGAATTCTCAAAGAGAAGGAAAACGGACAAACTCAGTTATGTCCAAGAAAAACAGAACAGAAGAATTTGTAAAAGGAAGTAATCTGCTTGAATGCCTTTTTAACTGCACAATTCAGGAAGGAAGGAGTGGGAGAAGGCACGATAGGAAGATGAAATAAGCATGTGTTATAGAATCCAAAATAACACTGCCAAAAAGAAAACAGTATTGCCAGACAAAGCAAGTTCTTGATCCCTCTGCTACTGTAAAAGACAAAACCAAGGAAAAACCTCTTAGGCAGAACCGCCATTAATGATCATGTAATGTTTTTCAGTATGTGCTGGTTCTGAAAAGTCAGCAAAGATAACTAAGAAAAGCAAATGGACTCTTAAGAGGCTTACATTTGCTAACCAAGGATTTGCATCTCCCCCAGAAAATATTCTGGAGCCTGCAATCAAGAAAAACTGAAAGTCATTACGACATAACAGTACCAAGATGTGTTATCTGTGAATAACCAAGAGTTTTATTTCCATTTTTCACTGATTGTGTCAGGTTCAGACATAAGCTAAACATCTGTGCATTTGTTTAACTCCTTAGTAAACAGAGACTTCTAACCAACCTCACACAACCACTAACATCCCTTCATCATCTCAAACTTACCCTATACATCACAGTTACTAAAAGCTGTGTGGCCTGTTTTTCAGTATTTTAAAGTGTTTAAAACTTAATGGCAATGTATACTCATGAAAGATACAAGTGTATAAAACACATCTGTGAATCTATTAACACATTTCAGTCTTACCATGAGATTGAATCCAAATTCTGCTCACCTGACTCATTTGAACTTGAAGTCTGTCGGCCTGATTCAGTCAATTAGGATTTTTCAATAATAAAATACAACAGCATGAAGCCCTCCTACTGTCTCATTTCTCAGAAAAACAAGTAATAATAAAAAAAGATGTGGAACCTTCACCTTGAAATTAGTACTTTGTCAAGCAAATACTGCTTTTCGTATAGCAAAATGTGCATAAAGAGGTTACATCACTTTGTAATATTTTGTTGAAGCTGCTTGAACTGTAATTTTAACGGATGATACACAATGTTAAGAGCTTCCTGCAAGTACCCAGTGATTAAGTTCATTTCTGTTGCACATGAATGCATGAAGTTTTCCTAGCTCTTAAAGAAAACGAGTACCATTCAGAAACATGTCTCAGAGCAAGGAAAACATTTTACAAGTTTCTTACCCAGTATCTGTTCAGCTATAACTTTAAATATTGCCACCGCTAAACATGCTTTGTTAAATTTTACCACAGTCATTTCAAAAAGTTATAGTTACCAGCGGTTATTACGCAATAGTTTCACAACTCTTATAATCACAAAAAAATGAACTCACATTATGGATAAGTGTTTCACCTATTAGCATTCCAAAGATATCTGTGAAGGTGACAGGCTGCCCTGAGCTTTTCTTATTCCACAGTGCTTCAATGTAGCGTTTGACTTTCTGAGGAGTGAGCAGCAGAAGTGGGTTGTGACTGACAGAGTTCATCAATTCTTGATTAATCTCCTTTGGTCCTTTCTCTGGAAAATCCGGGTGTGAATACAAAGTTGACATGTACCTGCAATGGAAAATAGGCTCTGTAAGTATCAAAGCCTGGTCCAATGTCAGTTGCCTGAAATGTACGATAAGCTCATAAATAATTTGATACAATTACTGATTAAATCAGATTAATTTACTCACCTTTTATACAGTAAATTGTCATTTCCTTTTCCTCAAGGCACAGAAAGCTAAACAATTTGTTCTAAATGTAAGTATACTATCAAACACTCAAGATACATTTCCATAATGTGCATGATGTAAAAGATTACAGTGTTCCTCATTTATCTGTTTAAGGGATAATGGACAGAATCATCATAAGCTGAAAAAAGAGCTTCTCAAGTTGTCACAGCACACCTAAATTTGGCAGACCGGAGGTCCTATAAGTATACACATGCAGTTCTTTCACTCTAAGATGTACCTCAATCTGTCACTCTCCAGTTCATTACCACTATTCAAAAATTCCTAAAATATATTAGTATATGGCAAGCTTTCCAGGATCTAGATGTTCTCATGCTAAGAACTACAACCTGTGCAGAGATTTAATTGACTTTGAGGATTCAGAAGAGGCCTATCAGGCAAATCTTGATTTTGTCACTGAGTAACTCTGGAAACTGAAGTTTTGTTTACTCAAAACAAAGTTTAGACACACATGCGGATAACTGTGGTTTGTACTTCGTTAGCTTAAGTAACACTATGCGTGAAGACTCAAGATAGGCCATCCTACTCTACTAGATGCTCATTTCACTATTATTTATTCAATTAGCTGGCTTAGGTATACATACCATACTGCAGGCATAATTCTGCACAGCAGTGAGATACAAACTGTGTAAGCTTGGCGGCTCCGATATCACCGCCCAGCAATTTACTTGACAGCATGATGAACCCTGTCACATGCATGATGTAAGAACTTGATTCATTAGTCCTTGCGCAGTCTCTAAAGCTTAGCATGCACGTCAGCTCGTGGGTGGAACAAACACAGCAGCAAGCTTCCATGTGAGCAGAGAAAGGAAAATGCAGGATGAAGAATTCAGTACAAGGTTGAAGCAAGATGACAGAAACCATCAGGAAGGTAAATGCATTGCTCCAAGGTTAGGCATGCATCTGAGCGAACAAGCAAAAACCTGCCTCTCCCGCCAGGAAAGGAATTCTCCACCCTTCAGGGAAAAAAAAGAACAGAACATTAATCCCAAGTAATAGACTGCATAGAAAAAAAGAAAGGGAGTGCCAAAGTGTCAATTTATTTATTCATCAAGCAAGAAAGTCTGAATAGGTGACATCACCAAGACAGTAAAAGCAAATTTGTTCATATATAACTGTTTCCAACATATGTTTCTGACTGAATCAGTTCAGATAATCTTGCTGTTTTAATATAGATTTTATAGGTTTACATTAGTTCAACTATGTATTCACACCTGGGTTTTCCAAAAAAAGGACCTCGTGGCCAGCTGATTCACATCTTTTCAGAACATGGTCTACATACCATTCCCTAGAAACACAGCGAAAATTTTTCACGCTACCTTGAACTGTTCAATTGCTCTTCATCCAGTCAAATGATATCTTCCACTTTTCACAAATTTGACAAACGTGCATCCAGGTTTCTCAACAGACAGTGTTAAATCTGCCCCCCCAACCACTAGTGACAGAAAAACCAGGTTCCAGGGATGCCAATCTTTTATAGTCCAATCTGAACGAGAAACTCAGTCTAGTTCATAGACAATTCTGGCATTTCAAAACTTTCCAGCATTCTGAAAGCTTTCTATCTTGTCTGGGAGGGGGCAAGCAAGCTTCACACAAGTGAAAAATAATTGATAAAAAACCACACAAGGAATAGAGCAGATCATTATCTATTTCAAAAGAGTTAACAACTTTGGGGTTAGACTATTTCCTTAGAATATGTGGAATCAAAATTCATGTGCTTCCTTAGAGTTAAACGAGGGGATAACACTAATCCCAGGCAGACTCCCTGCTTGTTTATATTTAGTTATTCCAACAAGTCTTTTTCCCTTACTCTCGAAGAAATGAGACATTCATACAATCTTAGAATGTAGACTGGAAGGAACCTTGAGGTCTCCATTCCAACCTCCTGCTCAATGCAGAGCCAACTTGAAGTCAGATCAGGTTGCTCAGGGCTTTGTTCAGTCAAGTTCTGCTTTCACATGAAGTATTCACTGAGTCAGACAGAGAGAGGATGACACCTTACCCAACCTAGTCAAGTAACGATGGGGCAATACATTCCAGTGCTTGACCACTCTCACTGCAAAATAATTTTCCTAATAGCTAACCAAATTTCTCTTGCTGTAACTTATGGCCATTACTCCTTGTCCTTTCTCTGTGTGTCTCCAAAAAGAGGCTCTTTTCTTTACAGCTACTCATTAGGTAGCTGAAGATAACAGTAAGATCTCCCCCCTGGCCCCGTCACTACCTTTGCCTACTCCTCAAGGCTAAACAAATCCAGCTGCCTCACTTTCCCATGTGCTCCAGTGCCCTAATTGTCTAGGTGGTACTCTGATGGAATTCATTCAGTTCATCAACACCTTTCCTGTACTAGGTGCCCCTAAACTCGATTCAGATGCAGCTCCAGTATTCAAATTGGTACTGTTACGTTAAAATTGTACTTTGTGACATCTGGGATGCTCCCTTGAAAAGCTGAAAATTTTCTTAAGATGTAACATCCTCTGCTGCAACCTGATCCATTGACATTAAAACCAACTTTTAAAGTTAGATCAAAAAAACTCTGCAATTTTTCACTTAATGAAAAAATGTAGTGTTAAGGAGTCCAAACAGTTAAGAAATTTGGACTGAATTTGTCAGATGTCTTCGGCTGATGAAAATTACGCAGTTTTAAAATATGTTACATCATTTCATTTGAGAGATGTCAAAACAAATAGTTTCAACATTTGTAATAAGTGCAATTTGGAACAATTTTTATAAAAGCCAAGAAGACAAAGGGCTGCAGGTTCATACCACTGGGCAGGAAGAAGAAAAACCCTCTCATTCAGAAGAGTGGTTGAGGCAGACATAATACTGGGTTCAAAGCATTCTGCTGCCTACAAAACCCTGAGCTCGTAACGCCCAGAGAGTGCCTTTCACACAGTGACATCGCTCTGATTTTCTCCTGTTGATGCTGTTCCTGTTAATGGGCTGAAGTATTGAGTCAGACAGAAGGCCATCATAACTACCTCATCAGGGCATTCTAATTGAGACATCTTTGAAGATCTTCACTCCCATCTGACTAACAATTAAAAAAACCCGTAATTTCTAAATGAAACAGTGACAATAGAGAGTGATGCAAAGCAATCCATAGCAGGATGCCCTGCAGCAAGGCAGTCAGTCGGTATTTTCCCTACTAGCCGAAATACATGGGCTCAAATCCCTTTATGTTAAGAAAGAATCAGTGAACAGGTCCTAGACGTACCCAGTAAATCCACTAAGAAGGGGACTACTGAGTCTAAAATGGAGAAAAACATCTTTCAGTGATTTTGAGAATCTCTGAAAAGTCCCCCAAAAGTATACAATCCATTCTGGGTTCAAAAAGTCATCATCTTCAAATCACAGGGAATTTTTTTTTTCCATTTCATTGGGAAAATAAAACTACACAAAAAAATATTTTGGATTTATACCAATGGCTTGAATTCTTAATTTTTTGGTTATCAAGATGAAAGAATCAGTTACACAGTCCTAGTACAGTACTGGCTGTTCATACAGAAATGTGGGTGCCTACGTGTAGCACCTCTTTTCATCTATTCTTGTCATCAAATCTAGGAAGATCACCTGCAGACTGAGCTGTCCTCACCCTTTGAGGCATTCTGAAACACCTCCACCAGCAGCCTTGTTCCACTGACCCGCTATGCTGCAAGATAGCTGTCTCCATATGTCCTTTCCATACTGATAGTGTATATGTAAAATTGGCTGTGAAATATAACCTTAGAAATAAGTCAACTCTCATGAAAATTCATTTTTGAACTTCCTGAAAAAAAAATGAAGAAAAACAAAAGAAAAAACCCTTACCACGTGGATCCTGAGAGACCAGCAATGTAAGTCGCACAGTCTAAAATTCCTGATTCATAAAGTGCTTTCATGACTCCAGCAAACCCTACCATGGCACGAAATCCACCTCCTGACCCCAATATTGCTATCACTGGTACCTGCATAGATGAGAAAAATAACATATCACCACATCAATTCTGATAAAGACTTAAAAGCAGTAAATAAACATCATTCATCAATCACTGGCCTAACATATCAGCCTTGTGCAATTAATAGGTCACCACCCAGAGATCATCACAGCAAAGAAGAAACCTGTGCTTTTCCAAACCTGTGCACAAAAGTTCTAACAAGCAAAAAGAAGGTATTCTGTAGTCTTTCAGTGGTACGTGTGTAAGAGAACAGCAAAACATTTTAATAAAGCACTTTGAGCTATGACTTTTAAACACTGTACGTAGATTGGAGCAGCACCGTAATCCCACCCATGAAGTCACCTGTCTCCCTTAGGTTCTCTGGGCCCAAGAGTGATGTATGATATCTGTATGTCACTTATTCAGTCCCTTCTGCTTCACCAAGAGCTGGATGGCAGGAGTACTTTTGGACTGCAGCATGGGAGAAGAGTACTGCCGATCACGAGCAAGGGAAGCTTCATGAACACAATTGCTAATTTAATGAAGAAGACTTTAGACTGACTTTAATGACAACGACCTAAGCGAGGAAAGGCTGCAAATGTTGCAAATGCAGGAAGAATCCATGGGAGAAAGTAAGTAGTGAGACCTGCATGATCCTGCTCAGAAGGAAGAGTGTTCAGAGGCTTACCTCAAATGTCTCTACATTAATGCACAGAGAATTCAAATAAGAAAAATCAGAAGTTCAAGTGTAGTCACAGGTCTATGACACAATCAGAATGCCACAGACTTGGTGGGACAGCATGCTAGCCTGGCACACTGCCATGGATGGTTGGAGGCTGGGAAGACAGGCAGGGAAAAAGGGTGCAAGGGGGCTGTGCTCTACAAGAAAGCAGCTCCTTGGTTGTACAGAACATCAGGATGCAAACAGAGACACATCTTTTGGGAGGTTCTGGGTCACGATCAGAAAGAAGGTAATGCTAGGGATGTTGTGGTAGTCAGATTCAGACTGCTGACCAATGCGATGAAGTGGGTAAGGCTTTCTCTAAAGTCTCCTGATCTGGCTGGGGTCCTCACAGGGGGATTTTAATCCTGAAAGGTCAGTATTGTGCAAGCCATCCAGGAAGTCTGTAGGCGGCCTTGGTGACAATTTCCTAATGGAAATGCTGGAGGGGCTGACTAATGCTGTACCTCACCCACCCCTCACAAACAGCAAAGAACCAGGGGCAAATGTGGCCAGTGGGAGCTGCTCGGGCTGCAGTCCTCACAAAGTGATTGAGTTCAGGATCAGACCAAGGCTGGGAAACGAGCATCAGAGTTAGCACTCCGGAATTCGCTAAACTCTGGATTGTTCTGCGACTTGCTAGAATTCCCCCGATTTTCTCTGTTAGCAGTAAACGGAGTGTTGGTAATATCACTCCTTCCAGAGACAACTGGGACTAGTTGACCTCCAGAGGTCCCTTCCAAACAGTATTTCTACGACTCTGTTGTATCGTACTTTTTATTCACTACTACTTGCTAATACGGCACAATATTATCACTGCACAGACTCCTCCATTTTAAGTTCCTTATAGGCACAGAAAGGTAATGCCTGACTTTTCTGGTTCTTCAGGTCAAGTAGTTAAAAAAAAAAAATAAATATAGTGAAAGTCAAATACTATCATTAGGACCTCCCTTAGCTTCCTATCTAGAGAAATAATGTATAGAATTTCAAGTTCATTTCACTCGCACAGATTTATGGCACTGCTTCAGACCTTAAAATACAACCAGTAAGTGTACAAATTGGGTGAACAAACCACGTCAGGTCTCAGCATTAGTAAACAGTTGCCCCCACGATGCCCTGTTACTTAGAACTCTAATTCCCTGGTATCTGAAGAATTAGAATTTATTTGAAGAAGTCACCACTTGTAGCAAGACTTCTAAATAAAAATATACTGACTATTTCTTTAGAATTTCTGTCCTTCTTATCCATAATCCAAAATAGAGAAGATATCAAATTTAGTCATTAAATAAACTATTTGGTTACAAGACCACAGAAATTTTTTAAGCAATCAATTGAAACACTAGCTTTTGTGACAGAGCCAAAAGCAGTTAAAGTTACTAATCAGAAACAGAAGAGAAACAAATAATATTTTGGCTAGGAGTTTAAAAACACATTTTATAATAAAAACATCTGATATTACTACATAGCATGAATACAGTCTCAAAATTACAACTACCTTGCAAAAACTACAGGAGAGGTAAGGAGAATTTATGTGTATCACTTCACCTACTCAGCTATCAAGAGATCACAAAGTAAGCTAAAGCAGACCCAGTTACAAGTGACACCATATTGAAAAATCTATCTACAGGGGTTTTATTTTATACTTCTTTACTTCTTACTTTCTAGCCTTCCCAGCCCTGACTTCAAAGCTGTCCCCTTCCACTGCATTGTTTGCCCAAGTATCTAGAAAGAAGACATAATAAAACAGAAATTCACTTGCTACCATCATCAAGTGTTTTAGACTAAGCAAAGGTCCCATCTGGTTCCCAGTTTCCGAAACGTAGAAGAATTTTCCACTGTTCAATGGTGATAAGGTAAGCATAAAAAGAATTACTCAGTTGTGCAGAAAGCCTCTATCTGATCAAACTGGTAATCAGTCAAAAATTTCACTGAAACACAATTTAAGGTGCCAATATATGGGATTAGTTATAAGAAAAGGAATCGTGTGACTACTGAGTTCAGTTTCTTTCTGCAGTCTCCACACTCCACGCCATGAAACTTCCCTGCGGACCGAAAACAGTCACACGGAAACGACCACGCACAATGACCAAGTAAGTTGAGATATTCCTCAAGGCTTCCGGTCTGTAAAAACTGCTTATTCTTGATGCAGTAAGATTATTTGATCATATTCTTCATAAGTGTTAAGCTTTAGTAATAGAAACCACAGGTATTTACTGGCATCAGCATTCATCATGCACCTCCAGAGATAGCTATCTATCAAAAAAATGACAAAACAAAGGTAAAGATTTAGGACATGCCTGTTTTGTTAAGCCAACACCCTAATAACAGAGCAGTTGCTTTGAAGAGAAGAGCCATATTACTAATCACAAATTTAATAATGTACGTTAGGCTTTGAAAGCTCTTTACCAACACTACCTAATTAACCTACACAGACAAATCCCAACAAGATGAAGACGGTGGTTTGCAGGTGCAAGCCTGGAAAAAGTATGTAAGAACACTTCCAAAGCACTACTATTCAACAAATCTATTCATCGGTGAAGTGGCAGAAGCACAAGGGAAAATCTGAGTTTTCTTCAGGATGCAGAGAAATTCGTAAGGAGGATCAACAAAGAACGTCAAGAAGAGTCACTAGCATCCCGACTGCAAACGCTTCGTGTATACCTAATCCACAGGCATTCTGGGAATCATAGATTCCTATACCAGGGGAGAGTGGGTATACCGAGAGGTAGCTGGATGTATAGTATCTCTTCATTTCCACTTGATATCAAAGCAAAATATGAAGAGCTGTAATCACTACTTTATTTCCAGAAATGAAATTTAACTAAAGAGCTCTAGAGCAGAGCGCAGCTTAAGGAAGCTTCCCACAGTAAATAAAGCTTTTAAATGATGAAAAAATAACTGAAGAGAAGCATTTACTGCACATTTATATACATTCATTTCAGCCAATTGAATACAAGTTGACTTGTAGGCATAAGCCAAGTGATGAAGGTTAAGGGTCCTTTCTTGCTTTGCAGAAGGTAGAGCACATTTCCAAGCAGGTAGGTTTGTTAAAGCAGTTTCTTAGCTGCAATTCAGTTTCCAACATGTTTAAGGGCAAGAAAAGGTAAAATCTGGAATCACATACACCCATGTTACATGTTGCTCTTTAGGATAAATAGGGCAGAAGGAGGGGGGAAGTAGCTGCAGACTTGAGTACAAAGGGAAGAGAACCAAGAAGCCATCTCATGATTGAGAAAGAATGGAGAAAAGATAAGACACCAAGGCATGTACGCTTCTCCATGTAGACAGGCTTCGGCTGATGCACTCCACTCTTTGAAGCACTCTGAACCTGAAGTCCTTTGTACATAACCAGTAAAACCAGGGCAGAGGTACTAAACCCATTCAAGCAGATTAGTGAACTTAGACCAAAAGGGTAAGTGACTCACAAGAAAGCGATGTGGTGAGTCAAGGGCAAAAATGTGAATCGAATTCAGAAGTCTTGGAGACAAAAGCCCATTGCTCTAACCCTTGATCACACTGCCATGCTCAATTCTATATGGTTGTGCCCACTTCTGAACAACCAAAATGCCATGCCAGCACGGCTTGCTTTTTCCTGTGTTTGGTCTGCATGGCACAATGCTGGGGAACCCAAGCCAGTTTTGAACAAACCAGCTTAGAATGCATCCAAACAAACTCCACTGAACAGGATTTAACAACGCTGATGAAGTGTTTTGTCAATACATCTGTATTGTTTCTAGAATCCATGGGGCACTGTACTGTGCGGACAAGTTCAGCACCAAACAGTTCCACTTCAATCAATGGGCGCCTCATCTCAACAAGTGCTGGTTGCTTAATCACCAAACTGGGCATGAAAATGAAAAGGATTTGGGAAACGAGATATATTTTAAGAAAAGCGAGTTCTGAAAAAGTCATTTCAATCATATTTTCCAGTAATCTGGCAAAAAAAGCTATAACATATTAAATCTTGTTTTGGGAATGAGCAGTGCAGATGTTTTTTATCCAAACGCCCTGGAAACATAGCACACAAAATCTGGACAAGAATACCTGTGATGGAAAAAAAGTTGCCACAGGGTACACAGATGATTATTAAAAAATTCTGCAAATCCAGTCTTAGAGAACTATATGTTTTCTTTAATCGATTATGGTATTTTAGAAAACGGTTTAAAGCAATAAAAATTATAAAAATAAACTGAGCAATAACACAGGTACAAGAAATCTCATCCTCTCTGTTTTCAGAATGTTCCTCAAGATTAAGTAAGGAAATCTGGAAGTACTCACTTCCCCATTCAGGGATGTGTAATTATTTCACAGGTATTAAAGTCTCATAGCATCCCTGCAAGGCACATATGTTGCTATTCACAGATGAAGAAACTTAGGTGAACTTTGACTTAAGTAAGTGACTTGTTTAAGATTAAACAATGACTCACAGGCAGCTAAGAATACTCATTATGTCTCCTGACTTCTGATGCCATGTTAAGACTACAGACATCCTATAAATCCTCCTGCTATCTTCCATCTGTAGCAATAAAAGTAAAAATTGCAGACTAGAAGGACAAAACTATATTTTAATTTGAACAAAAAGGTTTTTTTCATTGCTAGAAGCAGCTAAAAATTCTGACAAGTCAGCTTAGAAAAACACACTTGGCATATGAAAAACGGTAGGATCGCATTACCTCAGTACTTCCTAGGGTTGATAAGCCTACACTTAGAGATTACTGTCTGCTCTTGGAAGATGCAATTTAACTGATAAAATTTCAGTATTTAAGACAGTGAGGGAAACCAAGGGAAGATGACGGCAAAAAGAATATGAAATCTTACCTAGCGTTTACAACAATTCATGCACACATACCACCTGCATAGAACTGATACTTCAGGCACTGAGTATCACTCCAGTTCCAACTGGATCTTGGCAGTCTATCTGCATCCTTTCTAAGAAAGGTATTATTCTGCTGTAGAAGATCAGACCAATGTCATATTCACAGATATCTACTCTGATAAGATTTGCACGTGTTAAGATCAAAATAACCAAACTGAAAATCAAAAAACCTTGAAAATGTTCCTTCACAATATGCACAATTTATATCACTACAAATAAAAAGATCAGTAGGATTTGGCATCCTTCCTCGCTTTGATGTGACCCAAAACACCATCAGGCCATCTAGACCTCTTGGCTTAACTTTCTGTTGGCTTGCTACAGAGTGCCAGCAAGTCAATGAAAGCTGCAGATTCTCACATTCTCTAAGAAACATACTTAATAATCCTAATCCTGTAAAACAGGCTAAAGGAAAAGAAGAAAGGAAAGAAAGAAAATAATTTCTAAACTGACTCTAACATTAAAGCAGCTCATTTCCTGCCTAATCTTTTAGACAAGAAGGTCATACAGTCAAGGCCATTTTAAGAGTACAGGCTGGATATTAAGCGTGCAAGGGCAGATTCTGCAGGTGGGCACATGCCCAGAGCCACCGCATGCTACTTGTGCAGTAGGTATTTCACACGCCCTTTAGGGATTTTTCAGATGACAATCTCAGCTCAGAACCAACACCTTAACAAAGCATGGAATTCAGAATCAGAGCAAAATGAAAAGCATGGATTTACCTCCCTTGCCCAGTTTTAACCTAGGCACAGCCTGCCAAGGATTAAAACAATAAAGAACCAGATAAAAGTTACAGCAGTTTGTTTAAGGTGCCAGTGCAAATGAAACGCTGTGATTTCTATCCTGCGATGGCATTTGCATGGTATTGTCCTTTTGCACACAATGGGCATATCTTATTTAAGCGCAGCTTCATTTCGGCACAGGATGCTGTCTCCTTAAACTTTAATCTATAAATTTAGAGCACAAGAAAAATTATTCTCCAGCCTAGATATTTTACACACATAGAGGAAAAAGAATTTTTTCTGCTTCTGCCATCTGTCTTTACATTGAACCCTTCTACTTCATATGTCTCATTCATTCCTTTGAGAGACAAATGCAGGACTCCAAAGGTGATACTAAGGTTCTTGATGTGAACTCTCCAAACTTACATCACGGGAAGTGGTCAAGTTCTTGCTGTTTTCCTCTCCTAGAAATGATTTCATACTGTGCATGATATTATCTTTTCGCTGTTGCCGAAATTTCTTCTCCTCATCACACAGAGCCATACAAAAATCAGTTGAAGAGCTATTATGCAAAACAGACAGGCTTTAACAAAAGGCATAATTCAAAACAGAATTAAAAATATCACCTAGGGAAATGAGTGGAAGTAAGAGTAAATTCCTCATTAACTTACATAAGATGAAATTAAACAAAATAAAATAAAATAATGATTATTCATGCGACACAATTGCATCAACTGATTCCATGGAGTGACGAACGCAAAGAACAATGGCACAATGCGTCTTTAAGACACGCATTTTATAGAGAAACCTCATTGTTCACATGCTAGTGAAAACCAAACACAAAATATGCAGCTTCTAGTGGTATATTAGGTGGTCTTAAAAAAAATTAAATTAAAACACAGCATGTGAGTTCACCACTCAAATACAATTGTAAATTTACAGTCTAGAAATTCAGTCTGTCCACTGAACAAAGAAATGCAATGAAAAATTTTCATACATTCCTACTAACATATACTCTTCTTAAGTTAGAGTTAAGGGAGGAGAGAGTAATTTTGACTACATATCTATTCAGTCTTACAATCAAAAACTGAATGGATCTCAGCACAAATTGTACTGGTTGGCCACAGGAAAATCTAAGCCTTTTTCTCTAGCTTTTTCCCCACCTTGTGTGATCAAAAATGTACAGAAGGCTGCATAAAGACCTCAACACTCTACTTAAATAAAAGCTACAACTTCAGCTCCCACTTCTCATTTCAGGTGCCAAGGCAGGTTAAACAATTTGAAGTGTTACCTCATTAGGACTAGTTAACTCACTGAGCTTGTATGTCGTTTAAAGGGTTTGCACTACAATACCTCCCAGTAGCACTGCCTCTAGCAGACGGCAGCGAGGAGGACTGTACAAACTCGTCCTGGTATCTGCCTCATTGGAATTCCCCTATTTACGAAGATGAGCTGAAAATGTTTGTGGATACTTCCACATGTTAGTTACAAGGCAGCATTTTTAAGAGTCCTTTATGAAAAACATACAATGGTGAAATGGATCTATTTAGGCACAGGTAACAATTCCTCAGATTCTTTAAAAACCTAATATGTAATAAAATAATGAGATTAGGGAAAAGGGAGATAAAGACTGCCTATAAGCAATGTTCTATGAAGGTATATATGATACCGTGAACAAGAGGTCCACGCAGAATCCAAAATCCACTCTGAGAATAGCAGAGTAGGCTTTGATCAGATCCTTTTGTTTAACATATTTCAAAGCCTACTGCCTTAGAGCAGTAAGACACAGCCAAGTATCTTCTGTTCATTTAATGTCAGAGATATGAAATACTTGTAATGTACAAGCCCTGGAAGGTTTAGGGGTGGTCTCAAGGACCACCCACATATGCATGTTCACTAGTACAAAATCATGAGGAGAAATCATCCCTGGGGGATGTTTGTCAGTCTCCGGAGTCATTATGAAAGAGTTCTACATTTACAGTTACAGTGCTCAGCACTCCTATTTATAGTTACAGACAAAAAACAACTCTTTAAATGCCTTGTTCTCAGTCATTCATATTTAGACTTAAAAAAGATAAGTTTTCTGATTATGCCTCAAGGTGATTTTTGGTCTTTCACCTAGATCAGCTAGGAAAGAAGGAGAAAGACAGCTAGAGAGGAAAACAAAAAAGGTAGGCATTTGCTTAGCATTATACATGGTGAATTCCTGGTCCTACTGAGATCTTCACCTTTGACTTCAGTACTGCATGCTATTAACATTCAAACACATTTCAGGGGCAGCTCTGTAAAGAGTATCCATATATGCTGCAAGTTAACGTGAGATGCAAAGTTACCGAAGAAGGTAAAATAATGAGGATAGCAGCTGAACCTGATGTCTATGCGTTTATTAGAGAAAAAGCCCTTGAAAAGGAAAGGACTTAACATAAACCAGGATGCGAAATTCATATATGATGGCCTCGTTCCTGCAAACGTTTGGAAAGGGCACACCTACTAGTACAAGTAACGGTGTTTAAGTCAATAATAGAATTACAGTGTAAAAATAACCCTCAACTTTAAAATCTCCTGACTTTACAGTACTTGGTATTTCTGTGTTAAAACAAGGAATTCTTGTACTCTACCTGACATGTTTTTAAGAAAATTCTAACAAATAGAGTAAAAGAAAAAACATCTTTACTGCTCATACATTTTCCACCTCTTTTTTTCTTTTAAATATGAGATACTTACCACACTTCAAGAGACAATTCCAAAGTCATTTCTGTGACCTAAACAAGAAATATTTAAATATTGTTATACCACTTACGGAGGGAAAAAACCACAAATACACCTGGAACATAAACTATCACTGTCAGAATTTTTCTTTAAATCACATTTTTTAAAAAGGAGGACATTTCTCAAATAAATGAATGAGTTTCTTTTCTATGTAACTTTTTTTAAAACAAAGCACACAATGTGATTCCAAAATACACCACTAGCAATGAATAGAGTAGAAAATGCTGATAGGTGCTGCTAGGTCCTGACTCATTCCTCAGATCCCATTGTCTTGGCTTTCTTCCACTGACAATCCCGGTGCTATTCATTTTTGGCCTGAAGGGATCTAATCGTCTTCACACATTTATGATCCTTTGTTTCTACTGCCAGCCACAGTCTATCTGCCACTTGCTTCCCAGTTCACTGCGTAAACGTCATACTCAACTTGTATCTGAAACAAAGACTTGTAAGGGAATGACTGCTCTGTGTTCTACATGAGTAACCAAGTGCCTTTCTGCAGTTAAACATGTTTAAATTATCAATGAGGAAGAGTGAGCGCTTACAAGTTTCTGAAAGATGCAAGGAAACTAGTAAATGTCACTATATAATGATTTCACTTGCAGACCACATAGAACTATCTGACCCGTAAGCTATGGGTTAGTCTCCTCTACCTTTCACAGAGCACTTAAAGAGGTTGCCTGCAGGTAAAAGGTTAAAAAATGATGGTTGAAGCACCAATTCCACGTTAGCCAAAATCCAAGCGTACAAGGTTGCTAGAACTAAGAATGGACAAGCATTTTCATCTCCCCAAGCGCCCTCATATGCAACGGCCACCAACTCATCGGTACAGCCTTGTAGGAGTGTAATAGACTCATGCACAGTGTCTTCTTTCACTCTGCCTCTAGCTATAAATGGATCATCTTCCTCTTTTGTGGTATGTGCTCACTAGGAATGGAGCTAGAGCACCTCAGACCGAATGTTTGCTTGACACTTATACAAAGTAGTTAAGGATACGGAAGTGCAAAGCTGCCTCTGGCCTCCCACATCTCGCGTACCTGCTGACGCGCCAGGTAAAACCTGGCACTCCAGTCCTGCCCTCTGAAACGGGAATTGTAAATGAGGTAGCGTATTAACAGGGTGGTGGGAGAAAGAAAAGGTGAAGAAATAGCAAGGAGAGAACATGAAGAAACAAAATGAAGAGTCATTTACGGAAATACTTCAAAGACAGAGTAGTAATTACATTATTCCAGCACCTGATATTACTAATTTAGAAAGCACTTCAGAAACCACACAGCGATCCAGTGGTTGAAAAAAATGTATGCACACAGTATGAAATATTTCCTTGAAGTGTTCCACAAAGAAATACCCTGCCACCTTCTATACTGTATACAGACTGCCACAGAAATCTCAGCAGTACCCGTTGTGTACACAAATTGTCTACATTAGGCTCAACCTGACTTGAAGTTCCCTTACTACTTGCTTATAAATTTCACAGCGTATTTGGCTTTTCTCACTGATTTTTTCCCCCTATGTTCTCTACCAAGCTTTCCTGAGTGCTGATGGGAAGTCAGAGCATACCTGTCATGTGGGAAGGCCTTATATTATTGGCATGAGCTTTGTAAACTTTGTTTTTAAAATTTATTCGTCAGCTCTTTCACACTACCTCACCTCGTGCCTGGCAGAACCAGGCATCTGCTGTCAGTCCACACTCTGGAAGCCCAAAAGTTACTGAAGCACTTAGTGAAATAAATATGCAGAAACTTCAAAAAACGCAGTAACTTTAAAAACAAAAAAAAACAAGGAGGGTATCAAAATTCCAACTGCCCTAAGGCTATGTCTAATTAAACACTAAATCTTACACATGAAACTCTCTGATTTCCAATACATAAGCCTTAACCAGTTATTTGCTGTAACCACACTTCTAAAGTTATATCACATGGAAAACAGCAGAGCAGTCACAAATCCAGACCTCTGATCACATAATAAACCACAGCCCAAAACAGAAATGCAGACAGTATTTATACATATAGTATATGCATACAATATATATACATATAAAGATAACCAGACGTGATGGATATAATTACAAGTACTGAATAATGTTCAGAATGGCCTGTGATATGTTACTCTAATAAACAACGGTATTTTAATAAGTGCAGAACAAGTTCAATTACACACAGATTTAACAACAATTTCCAGGAGTTACCGTGCAGTCAGACAATCCCTGTTAAACTGACTCCATCTGTTTTGTATACTTGTTTAAAGAGAATAACCCTATTAATGCTTTATTGCATGTTAACTAGGGCTGTGTTAGAACAAGCCATTTACTGAAAGTGAAACATATAATAATGAAAGAATTTCCGCTAGCTTTCTGGAAGCCACAGGCATCAGCAGTAGAGGGTAATATACTGACCAGCAAACTCTGCGTAACTTCTCGTGCTAACGAAGGCCGTTAAACTAAATTGAATCAAGTAGTGCAGACAAAGGTTTAGCAAGTGAAAGTTTGAAACTGGATTTTTAAAGAGGATTCTCGTAGCAGGGACACTAAGGCATTCAGTGGCACCATTTTTTTTAATCCTCCTCTCAGCAGGACTGTGAGAAGATAAATACAGTGCCTTTAGGCCAGCGCTCTGTGTTTAACCACCGGCAACAGTGAATGCTTAGAAAATGAGCTTCACACCAGGGTATGCAGAGAACAACCCTCACCTGAGATAGCCCCTCCCGTGCCCCCAAATATTCGGCTATTTCCTGACTGAAAGTCTGCCAACCTTACCCCCTTCAGGATATATTCTCATCCCTTCTTGATTTCAAAACTTAGCTCTATATTAAGAAAACACATACGTATGTACTGAGTAGGCTGATGGGATCAGAAATAGTCTCGGATTTCCTTTCATCTAGGAACGTGTATTTCTTATGAATATCAAGAGCAGGCCAAATGTTTGTCTTATGCTTCAAAAAAATAACTGAGGGAATACTCTAGTAACATCAGACTCAGTGAGAGTCCTTAGGACACATCACGTAGCTTTTAAAAGTACCATCCTCTATTGATTTGTGAAGAAGCTTTATCTAACCAGAATGTGGCACATATAAAATTCAGACATCATATAAAATTCAGATAAAGGACTGAAACAAGTGCGTCCTGGTCTATACAATAGTTTAGGTCTCTCAGTTCAGGTGCTCTTTTAAGAACTTCCCATCACGTTCAAAGCTTCACCAACAAAGGCAAAGCCATGAATGTTGCAACTTACATCATTGAAAGTTAACTGGACCTCCTTCTTCTCTCCCACTTTCAGAGAAGATATAGGAAATGTGGATGTGCCAAGAGTCTCATCCATAACGTAGTTGGCATCCATCAAAGTAACCTAGAAAAGATACATGGGTATTCACAATTCTACTTCGATAAATCCCTTTTTAATTCTATACAGCCTATGCCTAAAGTAAAAGAAAAAAATTATGTGGAAAAGAAATAGGCCTAACCCAACCCAGTCAACAGCCAGTGCCAAAAGACATATTCTTTAAAACAGGATAAGGTCATGTATAGTGTGGATGGTACCTTCAAGGCAATCAATTGCATGAGTACAACAGTATCATTTACAAAGGGTTTTTTATTTGAGCACCTTTCTGTCAGCAAATCTCACCATCTTTCTGAGCAGACATAATAACTTCAAATTACACATACAAAACATACAATTGCTTCAAATTTCCAGTTAGTAAAACTCCTCTGTGGAGAAACACAGTTTTAAATGTGATATGCCAAAAAAACATGCAGCAACTTTTCAGTGAAGATGGAATCCATACATCCTAGCCTTCTATCTACAGACCAAGATATTTATAGCAATGATTTGGCAAAATACGCAGCATTCCGAACTACACAAAGCTTTTCTCTGTATCCAGCCAGACCTTCAAGTCTCTTCTCATATTCTCCATGTCAGAGCATATACCTTTTCAAAATGTGATACTACCCAAAGATGTATGTGGATACTGCAGAACACTGTTCAGTGCTTTTGCTCTAATCCCTGTGGGTCTACATCTAGCAGTCTTCTTTCTCAGTGGCAGCCTTCCAAGTTCTCAAGTAAGATAGTCAGAATTTCAAATTACCATTTACATGGTTTCCATTAAATGAGTTCTCCAAACTCATTTGGCTTACAATTTTTTTCCACTTTGTGGAATTGTATCTTCTAAAATGTCATGTGTTTGCAGCTTGGATCATATCTTTTGCATAAAACAAATGGAATTAAGATACAACCACTTGAATAACTAGTTGCTACATCTGGGTTCAGCCTCTTCTCAGCTATAAAGAATCTTCTTCATCCTGTGCCACAAGCAACCCTTTGAAACGATGAACTGTATTTCAGGACAGAACTCATTATTTTACTGACACCTATATTGTTTTGTTTCCTTGCAGAACTTTATGCTTATTGCTGTAATCTCTGAGGGCTGTCTTTTAAAACCAATAGCAATAGCAAAAACTTCTTAATGAGATTGTGGAGAGCTTCTTACACACTTCAGAGTTAAAACTGCGCTTGAGATAGAGTTAAAGATTTAGATTAGAATAATCTGAAGAGTCGAGAGGATTGTGGAGTCTGTGTGAGCCTGGGAATTCATACAGAGGTTTTGGGTGGGGAGGTGGTTTCACAGATTTGAGTTCTGACATTGCACTCCATGCAGAATCCAAAGGCTCTGCCAGGCACTGCGTGCATGTACAACAGCAGAACACAAACACCAGTTTTAACCTAAAGACTTTACTTTTCATGGTGAAGAGAATGTTTACCCTGAACAACACATATACGTATATGCAAACACACGTGTGAAGCAGGTCCACAATTAACATGCTTTCACCAGCTCTTTGCAGGCAATTTTAATGGAATTTTATAGCATGTGTCTAAGACAACAGCAACAGCCTTTAGCTATTTCCAAATTCTACTTATAATCAATTTTTTTGTGTTCTGTTACAGGAGACCAGGACTCGCAGAATCTGGCAGTATGCTATGGCCATACTGTGCTGGAAATCAGTAGCGTGCCAGTTTATAAAATCCTGTACTCTATAACGACTGTGCAAAACCGCACTAAAAACTGGGAAACATCTTACAAAATGTTACTCAACTTACAAAAGATGTTTTAGTAACTGGGAGTTCTCACCCTGGTGGGAAATGAGCTAATCACATTGTTACCACAGAAGGAAGTGAATGGCCCAGGCATCCACATAGCCAAAAATATCTGAGATCATGTAACAGTAAGAAATTAATGGCTTGCCAGCATCTCAACTTCTTCACATCAGAATGCATAAAGACACAGAGTATAAGAAGTGGTACTGTTCCCGAGAAGGAAGCAGGTAAGCCATTGGCAACCGCTGTTTGTGACTTTAATAATTTATCCTTTAAAAATCCTTGAACCAAATTTTGTACTCCACAAATTCATACACTACTAGAGAAGCTGCCTAAGTATAATTACAAGCAGAATCTGACCCAGTCTTTATACCAAGGGACTATATTTTAACTATTATTTGCTGCTCCTCAGTTTACCATTCCACTCATCTTTTGAAGATCATGAGAGCTACTGTAGATCCCATCTATTATTTAGCCAGCTGTAGCTCCTGCAAATCTTCCAAAAAACGTACAGGATCTGCAAAGAGACAGGTAAAACTCTCTGCCCCAGGACTTCTCTTAGAATCCACAAAGGTGATATCAGGCAAAACTGAAACAACTTTTAATTCCCAGATGGCGACAAAGGCAGGGTCATAAACCCAAGTTCTTCTTTTCTTCTTCCTATTTCCACAAGTACTTTCTCACAAAGAAGCCAGAATGACTCCACTCCTCTTTCTAATACCTGATATCTATTTGCCTGACTTGTTATCAGAAAGCAAGAACTACGTTAGAGATTTCAAACTTTTGTCAAGTTTCACGCAGCCAGTTTGCATGTCTATGACCAAAACATTTAGTAAGAATTGACTCAGGTGACTGTTGCACCTGACCAGCTGGTGGTAGCTATTTTGTGTAATCCATGTTCTGCAAAGCTGTAGTGAAGTTCTTGAGAATTCTCCAGTATTGTTGCCTCTCGTGCAGGATGCATATGAGAGTTCTTCAGGCTCCATTGAACTGATCATGGGACTCTTCTTCCCCAAACTGCAGAACCTACCCCTCTCCTCAGGAACACAGGGAGCCTTGTAGGAAGCACAATTCAATTTTCAGATCTTCAAACAGTTTAGCCCTAACAGACTATGGTTACTAGCCCAATGAAAAGCTTCACAGACTTTAGTCTCTGTCACAGAATCACACAATGGTCGGGGTTGGAAGGGACCTCTAGAAATCACCCAGTCCAACCCCCTGCCAGACCAGGGTCACCCACAGCAGGTTGCACAGGATCGCATCCAGGCAGGTTTTGAATATCTCCAGAGGAGACTCCGCAACCTCTCTGGGCAGCCTGTGTCAGTGCTCTGCCACCCTCAGAGTACAGAAGTTCTTCCTCATATTCAGATGAAGCTTCCTGTGTTTCAGTTTGTGCCCGGTGCTCCTTAACCTGTCGCTGGGCACCACCGAAAATACTCTGACCCCATCCCCTTGACACCCGCCCTTAAGGTATTTATAAGCATTGATCAGATCCCCTCTCAGTCTTCTCTTCTCCAGGCTGAACAGACCCAGCTCTCTCAGCCTTTCCTCATAAGGGAGATGCTCCAGACCCGTCATCATCTTTGCTGCTCTCTGTTGGACTCTCTCCAGTAGTTCCTTGTCTTTCTTGAACTGGGGAGCCCAGAACTGGACCCAGCACTCCAGGTGTGGCCTCTCTAAGGCAGAGTTGAGGAGGAGGAGAACCTCCCTCGACCTGCTGACCACACTCTCCCTAACGCACCCCAAGGTACCATTGGCCTTCTTGACTCCGAGGGCACATTGCTGGCTCGTGGTCAACTTGTTGTCCACCAGGACTCCCATGTTCTTCTCCGCTGAGCTGCTCTCCATCAGGTCTAGTCCCAGCGTGTACTGGTGCATGGGGTTATTCCCCCCTAGGTGCAGGACCCTACACTTGCCCTTGTTGAACTTCATCAGGTTCCCCTCTGCCCAACTCTCCAGCCTGGCCAGGTCTTGCCGAATGGCAGCGCAGCCTTCTGGTGTATCAACTGGTGTCCCAGTTGGCCAATTTAGACTGCAACTCCATAAGCTTGAGTCAGAAGACTTCACATGTTAGGGCCATCCCCTACGAAGAAGCAACCTAACAAAGGACTATAGACGATCTTAAATGCTTGCCGTGCTCACTTATAAAATAGCTACACTTAACACACCTTCTGTACACAACCCAGAAAGGCCTAACATACTGAGACTTAATGGTGGCTTGGTCAACAAGCCTGCATATGGAATAAGAGTACCCAAAACATCACTGGGTGGGCTACTCAGCCTTTGGCTCCAGGCATGGAGGAGACAGCAGAACCATGTGTCTGTTTTCTTTCTCCTCAGGGAGAAGCAGAGAATGGGCAGAGACTTGACTTTGCCCCCACCTATTCACTGTCCATAACATTTAAATCAGTGTAAGAAGCATGGAGAGAATAATTTATGGCTGATGTGAAGAATAGTAAGCTATTAGCCCTCAGGAGCAATCTGAGCGATGGCTCAAGAGGCATATCTTATAATGACTCTCAAGGCTACTCCTTGAATAATACAATTTATACAATACCTCTTGCTTAGCACCATGCCTGAAGGCAAAATCCAGCATTTAATGTTTTAAAAGAAGTTGTAATCTTGAGACAACAGATGCCATACTCATACAAGCTACTGTTAAAATAACATTCCAGACATGTACACTTCCATTTTCACAGATGCAGCTCAGGCATGTGATTTACCTCAAGAATATTCTCTTGATTGGGGTCCAAAATGAACTCAAAGGTCTCGTTCCACACGGGATTCACATCGTTATTGAAATGTCTCGTTCTCTTCCTGCAATCAGGGGCGGATGGGATGAACAGCTCCACATAAGGATCTGGAGTATCAACTACAGAGAAAAATAGTTGTTCAAGTTAGGTAAAACTCCAGTTTGAGTTGTAATAATCCATACAATTACGTGAAACCACAGATCACCTCATGGTCTATGACAGAAAAGTATTCAACTATATAAATGGCACAAATATAACGACATGAATGATACAATGATATTAACAATCTCCCAAAAAGAAACAGACATTATGCTTTTAAGAGGGGAAGAAAAAAGCCTTGAACAAACAGAACAGCCCCAGAACAAACATGGACTGATTCAAGTTTATTGGAAATACGCATACTTCTACCAGGTAATTGAAACTTTTTAAAAAAGCTATTTTTCTGTCCAATGAGGTTTTTTCTGTCCAATGAGAATTTTTTTCTGTTGAATTGGGCCAAGGTTGATGCAGTCCTTCACAGATTTCTCTAAAACATTGCTCAGATGCTTCACAGGAGAGCATGGGAAGTTATTCCTGTGGTTTTGGCAATCATGAAAAGTCACCTGTTCTGCTGTGGTGAAATGCCTACAACTTTCCAGCATCCTCTCTTCAAAGTTTGTCCTCCACTTTAGTGAAACATTTTCAAGCAAATACAATACCCACCACAAACAAGAATCCTTTCCTTAAAGGTTTCTTTTTGAAAGAGATTAAAATCTATCACTAGGAAAAACAGGTCTGAACATTCCTCCTTGTACACACTTTAGGTCTAAAGATACTTTTTTCAACAAAGCCAAGTGTTTTCAGAGACCTTTGGATTTCAATAAAATGTTATCAGTGAGATTGCTGAGGTCCAGAACCACACGATCATTTCACCTAGGAGAAGGAGGCAAGGAGCAAAACAAAAAAGTTTGATACGTTCAAATGGGGATCAATCATCTTTTTGAAAAAAATGTAACCAACCAACCAACAAAAGGCTTTTTGAAACCACTCAGGAGATTCTGTATGTGTAGCAGGGCAGAATAGAATCAAAACTGAAAACATTTGGCCTCCCACCAATTCTAGGGGGGAGCACCAGCCAGATGTAATGCGCCTTCTGATCCCATCGCCAAACATAAAAGATACTGAGCTTACCCATAAAGTACTTCAAATATCTCTGGAGACGCAGAACACCATGCCAGGGTCATGCTTTGAATTAAGTATTCCTCTAGCCAGGAAAACTTTAGGGACAGTAAACAAACCCTCTCCTAAACTCAGGCACCCTCAATTAAAATTCTGTATGTAAATAGACTTTGTGATTCAAAGATTTCACTGTGTGAGAATTTCCTTGGACTGCTACAACACTCCCCAGAACTACTTAGGGAGTTTTACACTCTGCTCCATATCTGTGGGGCTTAGCTGATTGCTACAGTTTGGCAGGTCACACTGCTACCTGCATAATTAACAAGCAGCTATTTAAAGCTGGGTATCAGTGTGGAAAGCTTTTAAATAGCAATCTTTATTAGCTCCTAAGAATTTATGTCTGATCTTGTCTCTTATTTAAAGTCAGGGGAACAGGGGGACCAACCCACAAGTGTTTTTTAAATCTGTTTTCTCACTGGCAGATGTAACTAATTGCCAACTTTTACTGAATACATTAGCTCCCTTGAATTACTACACAAACTTGTGCCAGGAAAAAGGGAATCAAGGCCCCTTGAAACTAAACAGCAAATTATCTCCTGAAATCAGAAGTGACAAGATCTCAGGTGGTGAGTCTGGTTACCGAGCACTACTTTGGCAATAAACACTAGAGACTTGCTCTATCAAGAGGCTGAACTTGCCTCTTGGTTTCTAAAGCTTAGTTTTTAACCAAAATACCGGTGCTGAACAGTGTTTTGGACAAAACGACAATGCTTGCCCTTCCGTTCAATTTTTTATGTGATCAGCCCATATACAATTTGCACAACTCTAATTTTTTTTTCTTTTAAATGCAAACAGCAAATGGTTTCCCAGCTGTATTCAAAATCCCAAAGCATGTGGAAACCCCATACCATTGCACAGCTGGCATGCAGATGCCATTACTAACTTCCTATCAGACAGACTCCAAATAAGTGTTGAAACAGAAACTAAACCTAAGGCACGGAACAACTAAACTTAGAAAAATCAGTCTTCGTAACTCAATACTGCCAGCCACCCCCTCACTCCCTGCCTTTATTACCTTTTTTAACCCGAGGCAAAGCGTTAATCATCTGCCCTTTCATGTTTGAAAGTTTATTTTGTGCTATTTTCAATTAAGAAAATGAAAATCTACCCGTTTACAACTTCCTTCTTTGGATGAAGAGGAAAAATACTGGAAGACCATGTGCTCTGATTAAGATACTGCTATCAGCTATACTATATTAATCAAAATCTTACTCCTTATTATTGGTTGAGGACCAAAAACTAGCTACCAGCAACCTGGCAAGTAACCCAGAAGTATTCACTTCATCTATTTCAAAACGTTATAAAGTTATCAAACGCAGATAAAACAGACAGAATGTGTATCCTTCTGCATGGATGTATTTATTTCTCTGTGTGTTTTTGCTAGCTGATTTACCAGGTAAGTTTTTCAAAAAAAACCAATCTGAAAATGTAAGTGAAAAGTAGCTTGATCACCACTACTATCTATATTTTGATTTTAAGAGGAAGCATCTTTATGAAATGGTTTGTGGGTCAAAAGCTGATGTTTTGAGAGTGTAATGAATACAAGAGAATTATCCATGCAGAGGCAAGACTGTCGTGGAATTGCTCTTTTATTTTAGTAGCCTACTTGAAATATCAACCACGGACTTTTGAAAAGAAGCGATATGTAAGAATTTGTACTTCTTCCTCAGGACAATTCTAAAGAAAACAAAGTTTCCATACAGCTCAGCTAGGCTCTGGGCTAATCTTTGTGCTAGCATTCTCTCATGACTCCTCCATAATTTGTGGGCTAGCTATCTGCATTGCCTCTCGACTTTTTAATGGAGGTAAAGTTTGGAAGCTTTGCAAATGAACACATGCACTACCATAAGTCAGGGACCGTATGGTATGATTCCATATTCCTCTCTTCTCGGCACTCTGACTACTTACAGTAAGTGCCTCAACATATGCATCCAACTAAAATATCATACTTCTCCCAGAGTCAAAGAGCTTCATAGATAATGGCAAAGATAACGGTCTGGAATAGAGGGACCAGACTCCAATAGTATTTCTCAGGAAAAAAAACGAATATGAACTGACAACTAAGTACAAGCGTATCTAAAACCCCACCTTTACACTAAAAAAATAAAACTAAGAGTTTCAGCATTGATCTCAATGGAACCAACAGAGGGTCCTGCAATTAGCAGCTTATAGCTAGATGAGTTATAAGGCTAATTAACAAAATGTTCATAATAATCTTTTGTAAGATTTACAGCATTCACCAAAGCTCCAGGGGCTGAAGACAGATATGCAATAACAAAAGCAGAGTCAGCATCTAAACTGTTATTTTTAAACACAGTGGCTTAAGAAATGGCTGAGAGGTAGGAAGTAAGGATTCAATGACTTTTCCTCATTTGCTTTATCTCCTGGTTAAGTAATTGCTATAGAATTCTATCTCTAAATTACATCGTGAATCATGAAGTGAAACACACAATGGACAGTAATTAGGATCAATCATTTTCATATTAAAAATGAGTAACACTTCAAGCAATCTGTCTGTTAAAGAAACCTGTAAGATCTTCTACAACTGGAAACCATTTGATCTTATGTTACTAATTTGGTGAGATGACTGTCATCAGGCCCCCATATTAATATAATTAATATTTCAGACATATAATTAATACTTCAGTCATTCCAATTTCTATTATTTCAACAGCACAACAGACATAAAGAAACTATAGAAAGCCTGTTCAAACATAAAATACCAAGGATGATGCCACTACCACCATACATTAAAATTTCTCTCATTTGCCCAACAAAAGCTGAAAGAAACACAAAGTTTTTGAAGTATTCCAAAATCTGGTTTGCTACAAAAAAATTCTGCACTATAAGAATTTGTCTTTTTTTTTTCCCACACAAGCATGTTATAAACACTTGTGATCATAATGGATATTAAATAAAACCATATTAACTTTAATTTCAGTTAATATATGCATCACCATTATAGAAAGTAAATCTGCATCCAGATTTTTTGGACCCATGATCACCAGGTACCATGTTTATGCAATTACAGGAACATTCCAGCAAGTACATGGCAGAACTTCCTTAAAGAACTATGTTAGTTTGGTTCATTGGGAGTTTTTTGCCTTCTGGTTAACCAACATCCTCCACCATTAAGTGCAACTCTATCCATAAAATCTTACTAGGTCACAAATGACCATTTCTGTCCACTTTCCACTATTTTTGTGGCTTACTGTACTATCGTACAACTGGGTTAACACAAAGTTACATGCAGCTGAGTGGCTTGACTGAGGCCAAGCTAGTAACAGGAATTGCTGGACTACTTTCCTCTACTCCAGGGGGAGGGAAGCTAAAAAACGCCAGCTGTGCCTTATGCACAAGTGGTTCTGGCTGGGGAAGGGAGTTCAAGCAGGCTGTGCAGGGTACAGTCCCTGCTGCCTGGCTGCAGGGCTCCTCTGAATTTTACGGAAGTTATCAAACCTACTGTTTCTCTAGAGAAATCCGAAGCAGGGGGCACAAAGGTTGAACATTAACTGGTATCAATCATAGTAAACCAGCACGGCACGAGCTACGTGAATCTCTTCCTAGGCCAGAACCACAGTTTTGACGTCTGTTTGAAAATAATAACTGAATTTTTAGTCAAATAGTGAATTTTATGGGGCTCGCTGGACAATATGCTTCGCAGTGGCACAGAAATATGATTTGGTCTCTCTGCCACAGTCAGGTGAAAATGTAATGAATTTTAAAATCATGGGTTTTCCCAGTTTAATGTGATTTTCCAGCTTTAAAAAAGGGAATTCTTAAAAACAGTACTTACCAATAATTGTCAAATATCAGTAAATCCCAAATAATTAATGCTTCCCAAATAACATATTAACAAACATACGAATTATTCAATTTGGCTTACCCTTGCTCTGCTGTA